CATTAGCCTCATACGTTTCTGCTGCTCCCACCCTCAGACGTCGCAGGGTCCAGCGTGGCGGACATCGTCAGAAACGAAAGCTGATGCTCTCTGCATGTTTTTCCGTCGTCTCCGGTCTGTTAAGTTGAATGTGAGTGTAATCTCTGGTCTTTGTTAATCCTTCCGTTTTTGCTGCCTTTCTGTTGATGTTCAACAAGTATATTTGTAAGCTTTGTATGAGAGTTTATTAAACCAGAAGATGGCAGTAATGCAGCATTAAGGATACTTGCTTCAACGAAGAAGACGATTTTTCTCAAAAATCACGTGATGATGATTTCTCATGATGATTTCTCAAAAGTCACGTGATTTATGAGAAATGGTAGGGGAGGAGCAGTGTTAAAAGATAAACATAGACGCCACGTCCATCCGTTAGAGGGAACAAAACAAACATCTCCTTTGCCTGAAGCTGCCTCCTTGTCATTTCTGACTTATAACAGAAAACAAAACAATGTCTAAAAGCTTATATGTGACAAATGTAACGTTACAGCAAACAAGCTAAGAAAAAAAGAAAGAAAAAAACAGCTACCGAACCCCAAAAAACAAAACAAAAAAAACGAGCGTTTAAATGTAGTTTCATGGGCGTAGTTCAGAGTAATATAACACATGGAGCTCTGTCTCTGAACGTAGTCGGCGACAGGATAGCTTAACTTAGGCTACGTTTACACAGCCGGGTATTTAGAGAAACGAATATTTCCCCCCTCCGTTTTCAATAATAACATCGTGCACACACCCGCATAAATACGCCGCGAGCGGCATCATAACTATGCCAAATATATGGGCGGCAGTGTGGGGAGAAGGATAAAGCCATGCAAGCCAATCAGAATCCTCAGAATCGACACGAGAGAACCTAAAACCCCGTTTCTCCCAGTTGACACGGCAACACATAACCGGCGTTTTCAGAAATCTCCACTTTGGCCGGAGTTTTTAGAAATAATCGTTTTCTGTGATAAAAACGGGGTTTTCGTGTAAACGAGAGGCCAAACCGCAGGGAAATATCTGCGTTTTCCCTTCGTGTAAACGGGGCCTTAAATACAATAGCCTACATAGTGACATTTGTATATTTTACTTACCAGTGACAAAGTTGTTTTGTTTTTGTTATAGCAGCTAGCCTAAAAGGCAGGAGGAAGGGTGGGGGTGGGGCAACAATTGTGTTGATCTTTATGTATTTTGTTTCACTTACGCTTCGTTCTACTGAATACTTTTGTTTTGACGTAAGAAGTAATGTTTAACTGGGCAGCATTACAAAGTGGTGGAAAATGAAAATAATTATTTTTGCTTTCATGTGTGGATACATATTTGTTATAATCTCTCACTCTGGTAAGTTTGTTGGATATAGAACATTCGTTTGAAATTCGCTGAAATATGCTTGACAGTATGAAAATAATATGTATTTTAAAATATATGTATCTTAAAAAATAGAATATAGTGTGAATTTGGGGTAGCAAGAAAAACTATTTCTATATTAAAGGTTTTGTATGGGTTATTCACTATAAAACAGTAATATTATTATTCATTTTTATGTATAGTTGTTTGTGAAGTGGACCCTGCTAATGAGTGGGGAAAATGCTAAGAAAAAGAGCTTTATTTTGTATTATTATTATTATTGTTATTCTGACAAAGACCAAGGAGTTGTTGTCATCCTGAAACCTCCAAACATTTGGTATCTCTAGAAAGCCCTGAATGGGCTGTGATGGATTGTTTAATTAATCATATATATATATATATATATATATATATATATATTTTTTTTTTTCTTTTTTTTTCAGGGCTAACATTTACATGTTTTCGAATTCTAAATATTTCCAAACCCTTTGGTCAAAAACACTCAGTCAGCATGTGTGTGTTAAAGAATCATGTCTGAATTTAACAAAAGGGGAAGTTAAACTAGGCAGATGTTAAATATATAAACGTATGACTTTGAATTCAACATAGTAACATAAGGGTTTGCATAAATGATGTAAGGAATCATGTCACCTTTGCTATGCCTCTATTCTATAAAAACTGTTGTATTCTTTTTGCTGGTGGGATTCTGTCTGAATTTGGTCTGAGATCCTCCGGCCGTGATTAAAGCATATTCAAAGGCATTGTCAGTCTGTCTAGTTAATGCTGCAAGTTAGTTAGTGAAGTTAGTCGTCCGACTCAAAGCCAGTTGTCGACTGTATACAGTGCTAGAGTATAAATATTATTAAGTGTTGACTGTACATGCTTGGGTGTTGATTGGAAATAAGAAAAAAATCTACCACAGTGCCCTTTACATGACAGGACTTTAAACTGACATGTATGGTGTCTGAGACATTCACTAAAATATAATGTCCACTGCAGTGGACAAACGTGTAAAAGGTCCCAGGAGCATAGCAATTTAACATTCACCTTGGTAACAAGGTGGTAAATGCAGTTACAAAAATTGGGGTGCACGTGGACAGTATATATTCACTGTATTTTTATTAAAGGTGCTTTAAGCGATGTCACGCGTTTTTTAGGCCAAAACATTTTTTGTCAGATAAAGCAAACATCTCCTCACTATCCGCTGGCTGCCTGTCCCCTGAACACACTGTAAAGAAACGTGATCTCTGTAGACAGCCCAGGCTCCACAAACAGCAACAAAAACAAACTGCGGCTTACCCGCTCCACGAAACATGACAAACAGTTCCAGCCAATCACAGAGAAGAAGGACTTGGGGGCGGGGTTTGGGGGGTTAGTGCGCGGATGAGGAGGAGGGAGGGTCTAGCTAGCCTCCGTTTTGTTTGACAATACTTTAAACGTCAACAAGAAGTGACGTCACCCGACATCGCTTAGAGCACCTTTAATAACCTGTGGTATATTTCAGTGTTTCCCAACCTTCTTTCAGTCACGTTGGAATTTTTTCAACAATTTGTGTCACCCTAGTGTTGTCATGAGACTAGAATTTCTAACTTCAATACCTTTAAAATATTATATGAAAAGTGAATGCCATTTTCGATTCCATCATGGGTAAAAAAAAACACTGTGTAGGCCTACTGTCATATAGATCTTTTTTTATATCAAATTTTTGTCCATCCATTGAAAGTCTATATATCATAATTTCTACTGAAGAGATCATTTTATATGGTGACAGATTTGAATGTCTTTTATTCATATAACCATTGCTCAATTACCATTACAACTATCTTACCTAAATGTTTTTTTTTTTTTTACAATGGGCTAATTTTGTTGCAGTATAGTAGCACAATATAGTTTGTAAACACAATAAAATAAAAACAAATAAGCAAATTAATAAAAATAGCAAATGTACAAATAAATACAACAGAGTAAATATACAAAATAAAATTAAACTGCTTGAAGTTGTTCAGGTATAAATCTAAGAATAGTTGGGCTATTCAGGTAGAAATGCGTGAGCGGGGCACAACCTAAAACAGGGCTAGTTGTAACACACTTGTTTTAAATACTTCCACTTCCACACATGTCAGCATGATGGAACTTAAGTTTATTTACTAGTTGCCATTATCAACACTATATAGGCCTAGATAAAAGATTCAGAAACCAAAAATCAGAAATATTTTTGAACATTTATTTAATCATAGCAAAAGTATTTTTTTACTGGGTAATTTTTCATCTTTGAAATGTTTAGAAAAGAGTTCTTGAATTGCTTTTTGGCGTGTTCGCTCCGCAGGAACAATTACAATTTTAGTTTGCAATTTTTAGAATGCGAGTGATCAGGCTCTGGGTGGTGTCCTCAGCGCCGTCAAAATAAAGTCACAACAACAAGCGCGGCTTACGTCACTTCAGAGTTCCTACTGGTGGTGCAAATGCAACCAGGAAAACGTTCGTAGGGGGGCCATTAGTTATTAAGGATAAGGAACCACTTGGGATGGGCAAATGAAGCCTCATGAAGCACCGAGGCTTTCCCTGAATGTTTCGGGAAAAGATTCGAAGCATCAAGAGTGTCGAAAACAGCGCCATCTTGTGGCTGGTCAAGTTTATAGCAGCCATGTTTATGAGCAGCTGCGCGCAGCTAGCACCGTTGTTTTATCCATTAACCATAAATAAAAGCCTTATAACGCTACATGTTCAGTTTTCCGATAATGTAATTTGGGACCTCCCTCATTGTATTGCAGTTTTTCGCACTTCCGGGTAGGCTTCATTTTTCAGATTAGAATGTTGCCGCTTGGGTCCGAAACGCGAAGTGAAGCATTCACGTGACTGGAAAGAAAGTGAGGCTTCGTTTTTCGTTGATCAGGCGTTCTCTGAAAACAATACGCGCCCCGGGCACGGAGCTTTATGAGAAATATCGCTGCGAACTTGATGCCCGCTTTGAAGCTTCAGTGTCAAATGTAACATCACTAGGAACCACTGTGGCGGCTAGTTCCTATAACTAAAGGGTCTTTCGCACCAGGTCTGTGTGATACGATGAGTGGCATGCTCATCGTGCTGACTGCTGTGTGACCCGAGTGTTTGTCTCCGATTTAAGGGAGCTGAGGTAGGCTACTGTGAGTTTTCTTCATTGCTGTTTCACCACAGTTGACATCGGGAAGAAAAACACGGACATTATTTTTGTTGTTGATGTAGAATAAAGCCGATTCAGAACGAGTGATTTTTGCCACTGTTATTTCGAGAACAATCCTCCCTCGCCATTTTGGCATATTAGCGCCTCTCTGTGGATGCCAGCGGCATTTCAAACTCTTTGAAATTCAAAGAGGTTTTTTTTAGCAAAAGGCTAATCATATTAATTACCATTATGTGTCTGACATTGTAAAGAGATATATATAAAAAGTATTACCATTCTGATACATTGACATGTAAATATGAGCCTGTATAATTTGCTCCTCCTCTTCTTCTGAATCAGTTTCTGGTTCAAAAATATATTGCTGAATTAAACCAATATGTGTACATGTGTTGTGTTTACTACAGTTGGCAGAGTGGATCTCTGAGCTTGTGTGATTGAGTGGAGGCGGGGCTAATTTGCATATTCATGTGATTTACAGTATAATGAATGGTTCATTTCTTCTTCAGGTGTGTCTGCTGTTGAGCCAGACCGAGTGTCAGTGATGGAGGGAGATTCAGTCACTCTAAACACTGGTGTTCAAACAAACCAACAAGACAGAATTAAATGGTATTTTAATGACATTCGCATCGCTCAAATCAATAGAGATCAGAGTAAGATCTGTACAGATGTTCAGTGTAAAGAGAGATTCAGAGACAGACTGAAGCTGGATCATCAGACTGGATCTCTGACCATCACACACACCAGAAACACAGATGCTGGAGAATATCAGCTAAAGATCCTCAGCAGCGGCAGTGAAAAAATCTTCAATGTTACAGTCACTGGTGAGTCATTATGTTTGGTTATATATGTTTGAATCACAAAATTCTTGTTGCCATGTCATTCAGGGCTGTTTATTTGTGCTTTAATTTCATATTATTTCACATCTAATCATTCATCATCTGTTGCAAAACACATTTACTGTAAACATGGAATTTGTAGAATCATCCCAGTTTACATTGTTAAACAGAACAGTGCGATTAAACCTCTACAGTTATTTAATGTGTAGTTTTTTGTTTGTTGGTTGGTTTGTTTGATTCTTCAAGCATCTGTTGGTTTGGGTTTCAGGTGATCTTGGTGCTGAGATGGATAACAAGAATATGGTGGAGAAGGGAGCAGCATTGACTTCAGACACTGGTCGGTGTAGTAAACTAATCAAATTTGATTTGATTTTGATTTGATAAACTTTGATTTCAGAGGGAAAATGTACACGTCACAGCAGCTCATACCACGGAATAATAATAATAATAAAATAAAAAAGACATTCAAGACAACAATTATTTTCCAGTATCAGTTCCGCAATGCATTACAATTATATACAACCAAGTGATTCTGAAATATAATCTATCATCTTAGAACTGATTGTACAGTCTAATAGCAGTTGGTAAAAATGACTTATTAAATTGTTTCTTGTGACAGTGGGGATGAATTAATCTTGAGCTGAATGTACTCACTAGGATAGGACTTGAACTGTTTCATAAAGAGGGTGACAATCGTGATTTATTATAGAGTCCAATCACTCCACAACAATCACTCCACAACAACCAGCCAGCTTCAGTTTTCCTGGGGTGCGTTTCCCGAAACAGCAACTTAGTTAGCAACTATGGTTTTGGGAAACACACCCCTGGAAGGCTGTTTGGAAAAGAGACATTTTGTTGTTCATTCAATGCAAACTGGTTGAACAAATGGAGGTGGCTACTTTACATTGAGGAAGGCGATCGCGTTGTATGTTTTAGCTGTGTGAAAGCAGTGGAGAAACATGTCATCAATGAAGATAGTGTGAGGTTTGACTGCAGTTGTGTCAAGGGAGGCTTCACAAACTGGCAGAAACCTCAGACCTGGCATTTTGTACAAACTGATGCTTGAAATCAGTGCTGCTGCTAGCCATTTTGGTGCCCTAAGCATAATTCCTTTATGATGGCAGGTGTACAGATAATCAGTACCAAGCACGGGGTTATGGGAAATGGAGTGAAAATGTGATATGTTAATATTCTTGGGGGATGGAGCCCTCTGGTGGCGAGTGGGAGGAACCACAGAGGCTTGATTCGTGACACTAATACTGGAACTTCTCCTTTTTTAGCTCTTGTTTGGAATATTTGAAAATAAGAACAAAGTTGACAATTCTTACACAATACAACCCCTGCCATAAAGGAACTGAGAACAAAAGGCAAGAAGCAAAATGACGAATGCATACCTGGAAACAGATAGCAAAACTAAAGGAAAATGGTTGTGTATTGGTGAGGGAACCAGTGCATGTCATGACCCTTCAGATCATAATGAAAAGAGGGAAATAAAGCTATGAACTGAACAATGGATGGATGTGTGACGCGTTTCATCTAGCATGACTGCATACAGATCTCACTTCAGCTGTTTAGACAAGTTCTGCTCCAACAACAGAAAGTGTTCACATCTGAACAGAGGGGCAGCTGTTCATAAGGAAGCCAATGTGGTTGAAGGAGTATGTAACTTAAAGGGCACATAAAGCACACAGTTTCTGCCAATCTCATGTTAATCTTGAGTACCAATGGAGTAGTATTGAAGTTTGGGGGAGATATTGTCTTAACTTACACAACTTTGGTTGAGAAATTCCCTCTATAGGGGGAGTTGTTACTGTATGAGGGAATATGCATATGCAATAAAAAAAGAGAAGTGCATGGTGTACATGCTTTTCATGCTATGCTTTAGTTCACATGCACATGTAAGAGGTGTGAGTGTTGTCTTCTGATTTACGTTTTTGATTTTGCAAAAAATCAGACTGATTTTTTTAAGCAGGATACTATCAGTGTTGTATATTTTAGTCAGTGAATAAACAAGAAGCTAATGTTCATCCTTTAAATTTAAACAATACATGTAGAATTAAGAATAACGTGTGTTCATTAAAATATTACAGAATACCTGCACATGTCTAAATAGGTGATGATAAAAAGATTTTCAAAATCCTTTCATTATGAACAACTTGGAAGTCACAAAAGTTTTGATTAGAAACCTGGAAGAAGCAAATGACCATTTATGAAGTGCAGTGTTCTACTTTAAAGGGGTGGTTGATTATGATTTCACTTTTCTAACTTTAGTTACTGTGTAATGTTGCTGTTTGAGCACAACATCTGCAAAGTTACAACGCTTGCAGTTCAAAGCAAAGGGAGATAAACTGAATCATTCATATTTACTCGTTTACAGATTTGCAATTTGTTATATTGTTTGTCTCAGACTAGGCTCTCTTCTTCTATTTATTACAGATCCACATAAACAATCTCCAGCACTACCAGCAGTCATTATTTGTGCATTGCTGTTGGTGGCAGCAGCTGCTTTTGTGATTATAAAGAATCACAAAAATCTAAAATGAAAGTAAGTATTACAGCTGATAAAGCAATAGAAAAATAATGAGCTTTATTAAAAGGTGTACAAATGTTTGTTTTGACAAGTTTTAAATATTGTGTTTGATGTGGTTTTGTTCAGGTTGTCATTATCAAAGCATTATTTAAAAAAAAAAAAAAAAAAGATAGTTTAATTGTAATTTTACTTGATAATAAAATTCTGTCATCATTTACTCACCCTCAAGTTGTTCCAAACCTGTATTCATTTGTTTTATTCTGCTGAACACAAAAATATATATTTTAATGAATTTATTTAATTTGGGTATACAAAGAGTTGACAGACAACATTAACTTCCATGTGGACTTGCCATCACCTTGAGGGTGAGTAAATGATGATAGAAATGTAATATTAGCACAGGTCATATTGCCAGATGCTCTCTGTGCTTCAGTGTTTCTCTCTCCTGTTACAACCGCCCTTCCAAACTATTTTAAAAGGGGAAAGTAATGTAGCATAAAATAAATTAGTGAACAACGTCAATGCTTAGAACAAGTTTATTCATTAAGGACAACGTATAAACAAAATTAAATGACATACCAACCAATGAGAAATTTAACATAATGGACAACTAATAAAGATAAATATATAACGTAAAGTTATATATCATTTGTGAAATACAGTGTCACTGTCTTTTGTGAGTAATTCTAACCTCTTGGTGTATTGATCTTATTTTAACACTGTGAATTTATTTTTATGGGGGACTATGAATGTGTGACGGTGAATAGATTAATCATGTCATTTGAAACATGATTGGATGCATATCCTAATTTCTTATGTTTGTCTATTTATTTATTTATGTTTTCCTATAGGCTCCATTTCAAGAGGCCTGCAATGAACAGAACATTGAGCGTTTTAATTTGATTCAGGAGCAATTCAAATTTTTTTAACAACTTTTTGCAATGAACTTTTCAAGATTATTATGAAAAATATTAATTTAAATGCATTAACAAAGCAGGAATAAACACTACAGCAGGGAAAGTCTGAGAAGGCACCTTAACATTTTAAAGCTCGCATTTATGTGTATACAGTATATTTTTATAAAATGAAATATAAAGTTGAATATTAATACATGTATAAATACATTTATCTCTTGTTTTGTTTATGGCAGCTGTATCTTTTATGTTTTTTATAAGAAAATTAAAACATTCCTAAAAAATTAGAAGGAAAAAAAAAGCATAAGTTAAAATCACAAAAATAAAATAAAATGATAACAAAAGCAAAGACTATATTTTAACTGCTTAGATGAATACATCAACTAATCTAAATACACTTGATTTACCACAATATTTCCTATTGATCTTAATTTTTGCACTCCTGTTCTATTTAGCTCTCTTTGTTTACTATGAAGTTTAGCCGCAAAATGTAAATATCTGCATGAATTTCTAAAAAATTGTATTTAGAAAATATACTTGTGAAATGTGAGTTATTCATCGAGTAAAAGACCACATCTTAAACACAGCACAAAACATATAAGCTGTTTGCCAGGGAGGATGGATTTGATCCACGATCGACCTTTTGGGCTGTAAAAGAATAGAATATCTTGAACATGAACCTGGGTCAAATTAGTGGGATTGCATGAACCTAAATTGTCTTTTATGGAACCGCTTTAGCCCTGACTGATTTGTTACAGAAGGTTAATTCAATTCAGGTTTTGGACTGTAATCCCCACTTTTCTTATCACACTTTATTGAAAGCAAAAACCACTTTCATGGTGCCTAAAGCTAAGGTTTGGCAAAAAAAACTGAAGCTATGCTAAAAGTGGTACCGCCAGAACCGGAGATCGGCTGAATGGATTCAAAAACGGTAAAACTCAACAGTTTAACTCTGGGGGAGTTGTAAAATGAGCCTATTTCCAAAAAAAAAGTGGAGTATCCCTTTAAACTCAGGCTTAACCATGCACGCAACTGTCTGTATTGTAATGTAACTGAATAAATAACTTTGCACATTATTTTGCACGTTTCTTTTCACATTACACTGAAAAAAAAAGTCCTTTGAATTTACTTGATTTTAATGTGTACATCGGTCCCACATGATCAGAATGTGTTCAACTGACACAATTTCCTCTTTTTCTCAATTAATTATTGCTTGTCAAACCAAAGTATTTAATTCCCGTAGACTGCTTAAAATAATCATGTTGATTCAAGACATTATTTGTAATTACTGTAATACAAATTTATTGTGTAATGTTAAGCGATTTCATCATGTCAAGGGTACCAGATTTCCAACTGTAACTACAACTTGATTTCTCAATGCTAATATTAACAGTATTGTTACACTAAAGCAATTTCATTATGTTTCTGGTATCAGAGTTGTGTAAATCTAACTCGCTTAAGTGAACTATTGTAGACGTTTTGAATGTGTGTGTGAATACAAAATCATAAATGTAAAAAATACATATTGGCATTGAAAATAAATGCAAAAGGCAAAGAGTTTTGTATTATTGTTGTATTGATATTTTCAAAAATGGAGGACTTAACAGTTCCCATGAACTAATTTCATAGAGAATTACAAAAAACATACATAATGCAAACCACAGTTGTTTAGAGAGGATTCACACAACTAATGTAAATTCTGCATTGTGTAACATATGTAACCACACACAGTAAGTGGAGCATATACTCAAATTCATAAAGAACTCTTTCTCTTGCAATAACATTTGACAGTAAGTGGAGCATATACTCAAATTCATAAAGAACTCTTACTCTTGCAATAACATTTGACAGTAAGTGGAGCATATACTCAAAATCATAAAGAACTCTTACTCTTGCAATAAGATTTGACAGTAAGTGGAGCATATACTCAAATTCATAAAGAACTCTTACTCTTGCATTAACATTTGACAGTAAGTGGAGCATTAACATACTTCAAATGTTCGTCAATGTGGATTAAGAACAGCAAACTAATTTATAAACCTAGAATTCATTTCAGTGGATTCACAAAAACACTGTAAATTCTGCATTGTGTAACATACTCAAATTCATAAAGAACTCTTGCATTAACATTTGACACTAAATAGAGCATATACTTAAAATGCTGTTCTTAATACATGTTGACGAACAAAAACATTTCTAAAAATAGTAACCGTCAGTTGTCAGTTAACCGACAGAGGACTCTACTTAAACAGAGGACTTGTGGACAGAGGACTCTACTTAAAGGAACACTGACTTTTTGGGACTTTAGCCTATTCACCTTATCCCCCAGAGTTAGATAAGTCCATACATACCTTTTTCATCTCCGTGCGTGCTATAAGTCTGTTTGACGCACCCACCGCTAGCCTAGCTTAGCACAAAGACTGGATGTAAATGGTTGCAGCTAGCATACTAATCCAAATAAGTGACAAAATAAGGCAAACATTTTCCTATTTACATGTTGTGATTTGTATAGTCACAGAGTGTACAAAAAACAAAGTCACATGAGACACAGACATATTTTAACCGTATAAATACTGGGAACTATATTCTCTGAAGGCGAAGCACTGCTACTCGGGCGGAGTGATAACCGCAGCACCTGAGACGCCCCGTGGTGAGGAGCAGAGAGCGCGTCTCAGGTGCTGCGGTTATCACTCCGCCCGAGTAGCAGTGCTTCACCTTCAGAGAATATAGTTCCCAGTATTTATACGGTTAAAATAATGTCTGTGTCTCATGTGACTTTGTTTTTTGTACACTCTGTGACTATACAAATCACAACATGTAAATAGGAAAATGTTTGCGTTATTTTGTCACTTATTTGGATTAGTATGCTAGCTGCAACCATTTACATCCAGTCTTTGTGCTAAGCTAGGCTAGCGGTGGGTGCGTCAAACAGACTTATAGCACGCACGGAGATGAAAAAGGTATGTATGGACTTATCTAACTCTGGGGGATAAGGTGAATAGGCTAAAGTTTCAAAAAGTCGGAGTGTTCCTTTAAACAGAGGACTTGTGGACAGAGGACTTGTGGACAGAGGACTCTACTTAAACAGAGGACTTGTGGGTTTTTTTACACAGACAACCATTTACTACTTACACAGAGGACTTGTGGTTTTTCAGTGGCAGTGCAGCCTCTCTGACACTTTCACTGAAAGAGCCCGTTCTTTAAAGCGAGTGCTTTATTTGATAGTTTATCTCCATCCAGTTCCATAAAAATCTTTTGGACTACCTCAAAAGTGTAGCGGAGGTCAGTAGGGTAGCTGAGGTTCAAGGCATACATCAACCCAAACAGCATAGCAACAGCTAATGATGCATTGTCCAGATATTGCAACACCTTCATGCCTTCAAGGACAATGCCAACATCCTCTGGTTCATCAGAAGCATGTTGTTTGAGAACATAAATCCCAAGAGTGGTCTCTTCAATGGCCTTATTGATGCTGACTTCATCCATGCCCTGTACAAAACAAACATAGGTAAATGTAGGAAAATAAGACCTAATGAGAAAAGAATAAAGATTAAACTAAGCAGCCATACTAGGGCTGGGTATCGATTCAGATGTTCCAATTTGATTTGATTTCGACTTGTAAGCTCTCAATTCGATTCTCGATTCGATTCTAAATTAATAAAAATAAAGTAACAACGGGAAACATTGTATTTTAATTTCGAGAGGGATGTACAAAAACAAATGCTTAATATATATTAGCAAAACCATACATTTATACATGTTCTGCTAATTAATGAATAATTTCATCTCAAGTGAACAGGTAAGAGAACAGGAGAAGAGTGGAAGGAAAAACAACAAAAAAGAGATTCATGTACTTACCACATATTCCTGCACAAGGCTTTCTGGATCTTTACCCATGTAGATACAGACTCCCTTAATGACACACTCTCGTCCAGCATCTACATCATCACACTGAAAGAAAATTTATGACAGTTGTTTTCAGATATCATTGGTGACTTCAAATGTTACATTTAAGTCAAGTTTGGTTTGGCTAACCCTAAGCGTTTGGAGAATTTTGCAGAAAACTTTTATCTGACTCCATTTCATCACAAACCTCGAATTTAGGTTTGAATGCCAATTGATTACTGACTATTTATATAATAATTGACCTAGACACTTGATTATTTAACTCTTTCCTCAATAAGGGCATTCCAAGTCTTAAATGTGCACGGACAGTCCAGGTATGTACATGGAAAGCGAGAACTACGTCCAAAATGTGGATGCTTTAACTTATAGTGATGCAAAAGCTTGGACCTACTTGACACAGTTTCTGTACAACCCTTACAACTCCACATTCCCAGGACCTAACCCTGTAACATAAAAAAAAGTCATTAGGTACAATTAAAGCTCCAAATTGAAATTTAGATATAAACAAAATGGTCCACTATTAAACTAGTAACTACACAATTAAAATATAAAAAACACATATACTATCTAGACTAACACTAAACAACTAAATATGTTTTTAATGTTGTTAAATATCCTATTGGAATTGCAACATTTATAATGCAAGCATACATTTTGAATTATGTATTTAAGTCACAGATTTAGGACTTTAGCAGCAATACGAAAGGAAATTAACAGACTTACCCATTAAAAGCTTTTGAGTGTGTGTGCAAAGATGACCTATGATATAAATTATTTAGAATTAGTGAGGAACTCAGCACATAGCTTCACATAATTGAAAGACCACAAACAGACAGTGCAATAGAATAGGAGTGCAATAATTCTGAATAGAATATACATATTGATAAAATGTTTTTTGAATGTGCCTTATGTAAGATTTTAAATATGTAAGATAGCAATAACTGTAAAGTGACTATTTTAATGGGGGTTAAATGTAGGTTAATTAATCTGTTCTTTTGTTTGAATTCATTTTGATTTTGTTAAGTTACATTTTTTTTTTTTTTTTTTTTGCTTTTCAATCCGGAAGAACGAAATTGCTTGGAAAAAAACGCAAAAATAACCAATTTCAAACACCAGTGCGTTTAGTGTTTTAAGAGATGTGCAGCCTGTACATATCGGTCACATCTCAAAATGTGTTTTGGGGTTTTATGACCCTTTAAGGAATTGCGAGGTGGAATAGCTGCAGATTTCTCTCACGCACTTTATGAGCAGTGACTTCATGTCTCATTTGTCTCAGACGCGCTGCGCTGATCACACGTATTTAGCAAAATTATTTGCCTTTTGCTGAATACTGCGCTTCAACTGTTTAAAAATCACCTGTTTTTAAACCTCAGTGCTTAAAACACATGCAAACGATAAGCTTTCGAGGTCGCGCAGCATAGCAACGTAACATGAACGCAACCACACAGAGATAACAGTTAATTCAAAATCTATACATCGAAGTTGAGCTTCGAGCGGGAAACTCAACTTCCATAGGAATTAACTAAAAACGTTCGCTCTGCTCTTTGCTTCGATCACGCACTTTTATTGAAAATG